TGGTGACTTTTTTTTTTTTTTTTTTGGCAAAACCGGGAATTGAACTCAGGCCCTTATGCTTGCCAGGGAAGCGCTTTATTCCACTGAGCCATCTCCCTGGCCCTTCACACAGGATTGTACTGAGTCACTGCATTATCTAGGCTGGGCTTAAATTTATAATCCTCCTGCCTCAACTTCCCAGAATGCTGAGCTTGTGTCACCATGCCTGGCCTTGGTCATGTGTCTTTTTTTTTTTTTTTTTTTTTTCCCAGTACTGGGGATTGAATTCAGGACCCGGAGCTTGCCAGGCAATCACTTATTCTACTGAGCTATCTTTCTGGCCTGGTCATGTGTCTTAAAACTTTTTTTCTCAAACAAAATACAACCCTTTTATTAATGTAGAGACAGCCACTGTGTGATTTGGGTGGCATTTATGTTCTCTGTTGCCTGAAGTGTTCTACCTGCACGACAAGAAAAAGACTGCATGTCAGAACCCTTCTGCAGGGCAGCATGTTATATAAGGAGCTGAAATCAGGAATTACTTTGGAGATGATGCGTGTTCAAGCATAAACTATTAACTCCCATTTGTACTGCACCCTGACATTGCTTTCATGGCTTCTCATATTCCAGATACCCCACCCAACCTTGTCGCTTTGGAAAACTCCTGTTGCTCTTGCCAGCTTTACGTTCTATCAGCCCATCAACCATAGAAGAAGTGTTTTTCAAAAAAACCATCGGCAATGTGCCCATTACGAGACTGCTTTCAGATATGTACAAATCCAGTGACATCTAAGCTCTCCTAGTATCAGCTTTTCAGGATGGGACAATATCAGATGAACTTCAACCCATGGAGAACAAGCCTCAACTAACAAACCCTTCAGGAAGCATAAATCTGGAAATGTGTAGCCTTCAGGAAAAATGCCAGTGGATACAAAGCAGTTCCAGTAGCTTTGACCTGCTGCCTCAACTGGGGCAGGGCAGCCCAGAAGAAAAGGGGTGCGGCAGGACCACCTGAGAGCAAACTCAGCACCACGGTGCCTGGGAGGGCCACCCTGAGGGCTGCTGCAGGCCAAGCCACTCTGCCTCTGGTCTGGGAGATCTGGCAGAGCCTTCAAAAGCTGAAAGACAAGTCATGCTTTCTTTTCCTTTTTAGCACATAAAGTTGGGTGACCAAATATAGCTCTGTGTATAACATCATACTGCGGCCTTGAGAAATACATTATGTTGGAGCATTTATTTTTAAAATAATGGTTAGGTTTTAAATCAAAAATATTATCGAAAGTTTCCCTTCTATTGTAATACATTGTTAAGTGGCCTTCAGAACCGAGGTAATACGTGAACAGTAGCTTATACTGTGTGATTTGCTTTTACTGTATCTATTTCCCCACCTCCATCTCTTTCTTTCTTCTCCTTTTCCTTTCCTTTCCTTTCCTTTCCTTTCCTTTCCTTTTCTTTTCTTTTCTTTTCTTTTCTTTTCTTTTCTTTCTTTCTTTCTTTCTTTCTTTCTTTCTTTCTTTTTTTTATACCATAGGCCAGGCAACCTTGTCAAAGGAATTGGTGGACAGAAATGAGATTCTCTCCAGGACTTCAGGTTGGATAACATCTCAAAAATAGAAGAGCTTTATTAAAAGGAGACATGAAGAGAGAGGATGAGGAAAAACAGCAAAACCAAATAAAGTGGAGATGAGGGACTGAGGGAGGCAGAGAGCTGTCCTGTTCTGGGAGGGCCAAGACCAAAGGCAGGGTCCGAGCTCACGGCTCCACTGCTCACAGCAGGCACCAAGTGAACGGACACGGGGCCGGCAGGAACTTCAAGGAGATGAACGCCGAAAGCTTTCATGACTGATCCATTGCTGATGGCCTGAGACTCTGCGATGCTTTTCAGAAAACTCTGGTTTCTAGTAAAGCCTTGAATGCACACACCAATGCGCCCGCGCACACCACACCGTCCCACTCTATCAGCTGCTCCTTTGGTATGAATTGATACTTATGGAAACTTAGAAACAAACATTTTAAAATAGCTGCTGTACTTTTCACATTTTGATCCCTTAGGTACTAGCACTGAGGAAAAATGTCAGCACTTGGACTATGATAGGATGAGTAAAACTTTTCTTGTACAGAGTGAATTAACTGATTTGTGAAAAAGGTTGTACTCATTGTATTTACAAAGAATAAAAATATATTGAATTTAAAGAAATTCTGCCTGATTTTTTTTCCATCCTGGCTGGCTGGTTGAATCACTCACCAGATTCAAGGTGGTGGCGGCAGCTGGAGTTAAAGTTGAAGCTCCAGCACAGAGCCGAAAGAACTAACTACAAAGGCAATTTCCTCTTTACAGTGAGTCCCATTTGTGAAATGATGAATAAAGAAATAAAACATAAGATTCAATTCTCTACAACTCTCCGATGTAATTGCATCTGTTAGAAAAATTGCTGTGTGAGGAAGAAAGAGACCGATTAAAAGTCTTCACTCTCTTCTGTTTTTCTCTTGCCAAGATTTCAATTTTGACCAGAAACTTTAAATCACTGAATGATCAAAAAGATGAAGTGTAAAAAAAAAAAAAAAAATCCTGGTGAGTAAGATGTGGAAGGAGCAATAGTCCAGATGTTCCCAGAAAAGGGCTGGGGAGATAGCTCAGTGGTATAAGTGCCTGCCTGGCAAGCACAAGGTCCTGAGTTCAGTCCCTGGTACCAAAACAAAACCCGATATTGAGGCAGTGGCCCCACCACCAGAGGTACAGAAGGCATAGGCACTGAGGTGGCAGAGGAAGTTACTGGTGTCTCTCCTGTCCTCCAAGACTATGTGCAGTGACACTTGTCTATTGCTTCCACAGAAAAAGGACTGTTTGCCTCAAAGAAAAAACAAGGTTAGTCTGGAGATGCAGCTGTGATAGAGCATCTGCCTAACATGTACAAGGCCCTGGGTTCAGTCCCCAGCAGCAACATGCACACACACACACACACACACACACACACACAGCTCCACAAGGCACTCAAATATTTGTGTACAAGAATATTCCTTGTGTCCCTCTTCCTATTTAACAATGTAAATATCTGTCCAAAGAGAACAGATACATTGTAATAGATGATGTTACAGTTATTAAAGGTAATAGCTACAGCCCATGTTTCAATCTAGGAAAATCTGAAATTGTACCTTAGGATGCAAAAGAATTGCACAGGTACATGCAGCTTGCTATCATTTATGTCTAACACCTACAGAAAAATACTACATAATGCACATGGGTATGGCAACATATATCGAACACTTAAAAGAAACATGATTTTTTTTTTTTATTTTAGAGAAGGGTCTACAGGGTGTTCCGGGTCTCACTACTAGATCGGACTCATAGTTATCTCCCTGTTTACAGCCTTCCAAGAGCTGGGATTACAGATGCGTACCACCACACCCAGTCTCAATTGCCATTTCAGCATGCCCTGGGGGCGGGCCTGCACAGCAGTCCTGGGGATCAAACTCACGGCCCCTGCACCTGCTTGCAGGTGCTTTAGTCGGCTGAGCTATTTGGCCAGCCCGAATATTTGTGATAAATACTAACTTATGATAGTTGTTGCCTGTGGGAATGGATGGGACGGTTTTCAAGAAAACCATCATATATTTCTGTGATGACTTTTTCCTAGCAGAGGATAGACTGAAACACCTATCAGATCAAAGGCAAGATTGGAAAACTGGGTGATGGGTCGAGTACTATGATATGACAATCTTAGAAGCTTAAGGACATGAATTTATTTCTTGATCAGGGAGCTGTCAGTCTGTGGCTCTATAGGGCTCAGCTTCAGCCTCTCATGTGGCTTCCAATGTGCACCAGGGATACTTCTATCTGGACCAGCACCCCGCCCCCAAGGAGCTCCTTCCCATGGTGCCCTACAGAAGTGCAAAAGGCTGAGCCGATCTGTGCAAACACACTTAAAGCAACAGCTGGCCTCAGTTGTTCACTGGCCAAAGCCAGACACAAGGCCAAACTCAGCCCTGGGGGGCAGGGAAGTACTCTCCTGGGAGACAATTGAGGGGTGGAGATTCACTGTAATGAAATGGCAAATAATTATAATCTATTTTATTTGTTTGTTTTGTTTTGTTTTGTTTTTGTGTGTGTGGAACTGGGGATTGAACTCAGGCCCTTGCGCTTGCCAGGGAAGTGCTTATTCCACTGAGCCATCTCCCCGGCCCCCTATAATCTATTTTAATCTATTCAAAGAGGCAGGGCATGGTGGCGCACACCTGTAATCCCAGTACTCTGAGGCAGGAAGATCATTGCGAGTTTGAGACCAGCCTGGGCTATAAAGTGAGCTCAAGGACAGCCTGAGCTGCACAGTGAGACCTTGTCTCAAAAAGAAAAAAAAGAAAAAAAAAAAAGCTCTCAGAGTGTAAGTAAAATTAAAAAGGAATAAGGTTCCTGTCATAAGCCGCAGAACACTGATTCCCACTGGAACGCCTCTGCTTTGGGTATCTCCATTGTTGAAAATAACAATCAAATCTGTCTTTCAACCTTTGAAAAGGCCCAGTCCAAGTCCCTCCAGAGATTTGGGAATTTCTGCTGGACTCCTAGAGCATGGGATTCTTTGGCTACCTAAAGACCCTTATTGCCTGCCAGGACTCAAGGTGGCCCTGTCTGCCACTGGCCTCTTGGGAGGTGTTTCAGTGACCTCTGAACTCATTCAACACACTCAAGTGAATATAAAAGCAAGAGAATATGAGGCCTGTCAAGAGGTCACTGTAGTCAAACGTGCAGGGCTTCTTTGACAAACAGGTCTTCTAAATCTTGGAGAGTTGCTTTCTGTAAGTTCAAGTGTGTATCATGCAAAAGGTACAGAGCTTGCATTTGCATCTGAAATATTTTTACTTGAATTTTATGCAAGGAAGAGACGACAGATGTGTTCAGGAATTTGAGACTTATATTATTTTATTTACAAATATATATATATATATATATATATATATATATATATATATAGAATCAGGGATTGAACTCAGGCCTTTGCTCTTGCCAGAGAAGCACTTATTCTGCTGAGCTATTGGTCAATGCCTGCTTTGGGGCTGCTGTGTGTGTGTGTGTGTGTGTGTGTGTGTGTGTGTGTGTGTATTTTATTGGGGGATGAACCTAGCTAGGGCCCTGCACATACTAGGCAACTGTTTGTCCTACCGCTGAGCTATATCTCCAGCCCCCTAAATATTTTTTTTATATATTACAGGATCTCACTACGTGGTTAAAGCTGGCTTTGAACTCACTATATACCCCAGACTGGCCATGAACTCTTGGTAATACTCATGCCTCTGGAATTCTAAGATAACAAATATCTTTCTGCTAGCCCTTTAATCATGTTTATAAGAATAGGAGCCTACTTTTCTGCAGAGGAAAGAGAGAGAGAGAGAGAGAGAGAGAGAGAGAGAGAGAGAGAGAGAGTCCTGGTGGGTACATATGCTCTCATTCAAATTACCTGTTTAGTATTGCAGTCTATGGACTAGGAATGCATTCTGTGCCTTCATAATTGTTTGTTGACAGAGTTGGGTGATTTGCAGTTTTCCACTATACCAAATTAAACTACAAAAAATTAACTTTCCACATGTACTTTTATGGATTTGTGGGAGTAATTCTGTAAGACAAATTCTTAGAAATAGTATTTCTGAGTCAAAGATTATATGCATTTTTAATTTTGATAGATATAGCCAAATGGCTCTTCAAACGGGTTGTATCAATTTGCACCCCTGCCAAGAGGATGTGAGAGGGCCCATTGCATTGCTCAGAATTTAAAAGTGCTTAATCAGACACAGGCTTGATGAACACTTCAGAAGCTGCTAGAAAAATACAGAGCATGCATATGTTTCTATTATGACTATGTGTCTGCTACAATTCTTACTGGTTAAGTAGGTCTCATTCCATTACCCAAAATTTTCCCCCAAATCTTTGGCCCAGGACATCACTGTGAACTTTTTGGAGTACTCATATTGCAGTGAAGGTGGAGAGAAAATGAATGAATGAAAACAGAAGTAGTTTGGCTGATGCTTTGCCCGGC